AGTGGTGCATCCAAAATGATGAATATTATAAGCACCCGAAAAGAAGGGACGTTAAACAAACTCAAGGGTTAGGCACTTCTGCTTTGGTAAAGGGACATTTTGGGAATAATCTGAGCTCAGCTTAGTGCACTTCCTTGCATCAGCTGCAAGCAGCCTACAATTGAAGTGAAGTATAGTAATCAGCAACATGTAGAAATAAAAAAAGTAGTGAGTCGAGTAAATTGTACCTAGTCTTCGGTAGCTGGAGCAGGGCTCAAACCTGTGACCCAATGGTTGGTAGTCACCTGAGCCGCAGTTATACACACACAAGTCAAGGAAATGGATGGTGGTGGTGATATTGCATACCTGTTACTAAGTGACATAATTTTTCCCTCCAGTAAGAGGACAACAATGTTTTATTGTGCGACAACAGAGTCCTGTCACATCACACTCAAACAGTTAGTGACAAATATCGATAAGTACAGCATGTGATTTGTACCGTCAAATCGCATATCCTAGGCGGATGTATAAGTCACGCGTGGTTTTGTAGACTGTGCAATCATCAAATAAATGTACATTTCTAATGAATATTTACATACAGTAATACATAGCTTTCATAACATACAAATAATTCATAAACAGTTAGTTATCATGGAAAGTTTACTGAAATAAAAAAAATCATTGACGGTAAGTATTCCCGATAAAAACCTAGCCTGATTAACTAGTTCACCAGTTACTAACTAGTCCTAAGCTCGGATAAAAAGAGAAGGTTGGATATAAGACTAACAACCCTATCATGGAATACAAATCCAATCGCTAAAGAAACTTCAAAGCACAAGAAAACACCGAACATAAAACTAAACTCATTCCTCACTGGAATCGGAGAGGCAAAATGATGCCGGTTGGTGAAAGCCTCCGGGAAGCCAATTAGCCTCTCTGTCTACTCTTCTCTCGATGAAACCAAAAGTAAGGATGAGGACATGGAATGTCCGCACCATGTATGAACCTAGTAAGGCTGCCCAGATTGCAAGAGTTGAGAACGTATGGCAGAGAAGTGCTAGGAATCTTCGGAAGCAGGTGGAATGCAAGCGGACTCTCTCTCTCTCTCAACTGTCAACTGGAGAGTTTATAATCTATTCTGATATTGTCACCCAGATGACAACCACAAACACACTGAGTTTTCGAGTGACTATCATGATGTCACACTCACAAGAACATCGAAGGCTCTCTCCAATGCAGTGGGAACCAGTCTCCTCCACGATCATGAAAGCGAGATTGAAATCAAAGGGAAAGAAAGTTACAATCATACAATGCTACGCCATGCTACACACCTACAAATAATTCAGATCTCGAGAAGAAGAAGGGAGAATTCCACAGACAACTGCAATCAGTACTGGACAAGACCACACACACACCAGATGGAGACATGAAAATTACAATGGGTGGAGCGACATGAATGACAAACTCGGAGCAGTCAACACAGGAAGAAGAGAACTGATCATGCGTCGAGAAGCACTCGGTGAAATGATGAATGAGAATGGAGAACTGTTTTCAGATTTGTGCACACTCAACGATCCGGTGATTGGTGGCAAGGAGGTGTGTACAAACATACGGGATGTTCAGATGGCAGCGACATGGATTTGATTTGACCAGACACCAGGACACACTACACTACAAATCAGATCGACTTGATCTCAATGTGAAGAAAGTGGAGATGTAGACACAGCCTACTGGACACAAGATCAGATGAGGAAGGTGAGCAGATGTAGGTGGTTCACACCACTTGCACCACTCACATCACTATCTAGTGCAAGGAAACTACCTTCAAAATCGAGTTGGAAGCCTTGAAAGTAGTTGGTGATAGACGGCCACAGTTCAAGTTGAACACCTAGAACACAAACTGAACTGAACTGAACTGGACTGAACTGAAGGACGAAGCTACATGGGACATCTTCACATAGTTATAGTCATCAGGAATAGGTGGGAGACATTGAGCAACATCCGTGAAGAAAGCTGTGTGGAAGAAGACTGGAACTCTTTGAAAGCTATGCAGAAGGAAGCCTGGATAACCGTGTCATGAAGGAAGGAATGAAGGAAGGAAGGAAGGAAGGAAGGAAGGAAGGAAGGAAGGAAGGAAGAAGAAGAAGAAGAAGAAGAAGAAGAAGAAGAAGAAGAAGAGCCAAAGACAATGAATGAATCTCCACGTACAGATGGAAGCTGATAGAGCAGGGAGAGGAAGATGGTGATGGTGATAGTGATGATGAGGCAGAAGCAGAAGCAGAAGATGAACCAGTGTAGTGTAGTGCAGTGAGGTGCAGGGATGAAGAAGGGAAAGAGGAGGTGAATACAACATATAAAACACTAAACTGAACAAAGAAGTGAAGAAGAGTGCGCGCAAAGACAGAAGACACTTCTACGACACACTGGCAAGTGAAGCAGAACAGTCTGAGGGCTGGTAGGAGAGACAGACCTGACAACATCATTTCAAATAACCAGGTTACTATCTGGGAGGGCAGAGATAGACGCAGAAGCACTGGAAACAGATGCAGAGACAACAGCAGACATGCTCACACCACTATTGCAGAAGGTTTGGAAGGGGGGGAAGGAAAGGTACCTGCACACTGATTGGAAGAAGGGCTGCCCTGTCAATTTCCCAAAGAAGGGAGATTTAAGTAAGTTTTTGCAAGAGGTGGTAAAGAGTCATGTGGGTGTCCCTGTCCACCCCAAGCAAAATATTAAGCCGCATCATCCTGGAGAGACTGAAAAATGCACTGGATTCAAAATTACAACCGGAACTGGCTGGCTGAATGGATGGATGGATTCAGGAAGAAGAAATCATGTACAGATCAAATTGCAACGCAACCCTACGCTACGCATCATCACAGAACAGAGCATAGAATGCTAGTCAACTCAACTCAACCTCAACTTCATCCACGTTGAAAACGTCTTGCTTCGATAGCGTCGACTGAGAAGTAATTTGGAAGGCAGCTGCTTGCTTAAACACTACGGTTTTAGTGCCACAAACCCTTATCAACCTCATTCAACAGCAATACGACGACACTACAAACCAAGCGATTCACAATGGAAAGCTCTGCTCAGTGATTCCCCTGAAGTGAAGACAGGAAGGATTAAGACAAGGTTGCCTACCATCACCCATGATCTTCCTGATTCCGGTAAACTGAACTGAACTGAGCTGAATTGGACAGGACTAGACTGGATGATGCAACAGACAGGTGTGAGGAGCGAGAAGAGTGGCATACGCTGTGTTGGCTGATGAAAACAGCCCAGTAGATTTGAGTTTCGCCCACGATGATGATTCATGTCTGATGTCTGGTCGCACAAACTGGAAGGTGTATAGGCGAAAACCAACAAGTTGGCAGAAGTGGCGAGGCAGCGAAGGAAGACGGGACTTCAAGTGAATGTAGAGAGGACAGAGGTGATGAAGATACTCAACCAACGACAACAAAAACATCACATCAACAAGCACCAATCACCATTAAGGGGAGAAATGTAAAGGAAGTAGTCTATTTCACCTACCCACCTACCCACCTACCCACCTAGGTAGCTAGGCAGCATGGTTTCATCTACTGGGGGTAGCACAAATGAAGACGTCAGAGCAGGGATCGGAAATACAGCAAGACAGGCCTTCATTAACCTGAAATCAGTGTGGAGGTCTACTGCACTGCACTCCACTCCACTCCACTCAGCATAAAGCTTGAACAAGATCCGGATTTTCAACACCAATGTCGAGTCAATGCTACTGTATGGTTGAGAAAGTTGGCGTGCCACGAAAAGCATTTCCAACAAACTACAGACATTCATGAACAGCTGCCACCCACACCTACGCTCACTTGATGCTGAAGATCAAATGGATGGTGAGAATAATGAGAATAAGTAAGGAGGAATTGTGGCTGGCTGGTTGGCTGGCTGGCTGGTGGGCAACGAACCAACCAAGAACTCATCGCACAACAAATATGCAGAAGAAGAAAGTGGAGATGGATTGGATTGGATTGGATTGGGCATACACTGATAAAGCTGATATGGAGACATCACACTCCAGGCCAGTCTGTCGAGTGGAATGTAAAGGGGAATCGATGAGTTGGTTGTCCAAGTTGAGGGTGACATGGAGGAGATGGTGTGAGGAATGAATGGAGGGTTGTGGAGAGTGGTGTAGATAGGTTCGGAGGACTGGAGAGCAGAGAGTGGAATGGAGGCGTGCTACTGAGTCCCTTTGTTTCACTGGAACCCAAGAGAAATATAAATATAATAATCATGTTTATAGTAAATTGGATCTCTCTCTCTACAATGCACAAATTCGTCATGGATATTTTTTATAAAATTATGTTGAATTTTATATATTATTTCAAATGGTCAGTTAAGATGGATATATTCTGATGCATTCCTAGTGTTTCGAAATTCAAGACAAGATACTTCTGAATGTTTCCCTGTGTATGTCAAAGCTGCTTCAGCAGATGAATCCTAGAAATGGAAAACAATGCGTTGGTATTATCCTGCTGCACTTGGTGTTTTTGTACTGTTCAAGTTTATAATTGGCAAGAGTTGTACAAAATGACTATGTTGTGTACAAATAGTGTAATAATATTTACAAATATCAGATATATATATATATATATATATATATATATATATATATATATATATATATATATATATATAGAGAGAGAGAGAGAGAGAGAGAGAGATTCATATGATGATTAATCGATTCCATTGTGCGGAATCCTATATGTTCCACCCTCTGATTATCGGACTAACACTAAATTTTCATTCATTTTAATTTGAACGAGTGGGTTGTCATGTGGTTAACTATTTGTAAAATATAATGTCGCTATACGTTTTCGACATATGTGCCTTAACACAATCTACCTGCAACCTACACGGACGATATATATACATGTATATAAATCGAACTATCAGTACCTTTTTAAGAATGCATAAATATTAACTGGAAAATTATTAGCACAGAGATTGTAATTGGTATAAATTATTCTACATGCGAATCGATGTTCTTCAGATTATTGATAATTTTGGCATTTTATTGTATTTTCGATAATGTTGTTGATGGTGATGAAGATAGTGAGTACTGTAAGCGTAAATGTTTTCTATTTTGTCGATATATATATATATATATATATATATATATATATATATATATATATATATATATATATATATATATATATATATATATATATATATATATATATATATATATATATATATATATATATATAGCTTTCATCACGTGATATCAGTCGGAGAACCACTGAAAGCCGCGGAGCACTGGACAAATATTTCACCCTAGTTTGGGACTCTTAGACAGTGCACGCCCATAACCTTGTGAGGGATCAAGCTCAGGCCTGTCACATCTTAAGCAGAATGTATTACTATTCAGCAGCGAGATTAGAATCCAGTGGTCTCTTGTTTTCTACTAAGCAGTCCCACAGTTGGATGAAGTAGGTGTTAAGTATTCTCAGGCTTTAAATGTTTCTCCATCTGATGTAAATCCGTAACGAAAACTTCTCTTACACCAACGAATTCCTAAAATCCTATAGATCATTAAGGTAATTTATTCACCTTGGAACTGAGATCTCGCACTTATCTGATTGCATCCGCTTTTGGAAGGCTTATTATTGATTCAACATTTACGTCTTAAGTTGTATGTGTTCTTCAGTCATATTTTAGAAAGTTGGTGCTCTTGTGTGAACTGTCTTTATTATGTGTGTTACATATTTCCCACGTAAGCCTTCAGTGTCAAGTACACAGTAGTAGGGAATAACAGTAACATCAGTGTTTCACTCCTTTAAACGAATGCAAAAACTTTAGATTGAAAAACTAATAAACTAGAAGGGATGTGTGTATGTAATACCATGTTCCAAATGTTTTGGTAAGGAGTATCAACATTTTGAAGAAGAAGGAATTAGAGAAAAGTATGAAGTTTCAATTTTAGTGTTATGAGCCAATCGACAGGGAACCTTAGACCTAGCGTTGGTATTTATCAGCAAGGCGTGTATGTAACTTCGAAGAAAATATTGTCTCCTTAGAGATCGGGATCTAAGTCACACGGAGTAGAAGTCAGGGATGTTGACCATCAGCTATGTAGTTGATACACGTTTGTATCTTAGGGCGGAAATAAATTTCCCTTGAGGCTGCACATTAGCCTTGCTGATGACTCCCAACTAGGGCTTCCTATCAGTCTCCTCATATGTATACATATACATGTTACTTAAATTCCATAGTATGACCAGTTGTGGAATGGACCTAGTTATTCTATATAAATGGTTTCATTTGTTCTAAACTTATGTCAGAGAAGCTCTGCAAGAGTAAGATGAAAAAGAATAATCAGTTCTTATCATTTGATTGGTTTACACAGAGGTTACACCTAGGGGAGTTGTAAAACCCTGATTCCACACCAGCAGTGCACATGACCTTCGTCACCCAAAACAGATAAATGGCTTATGGACCTATCTTAGTTACTAGCAATCATGAGTGTGCAGTGCGTCACTTTGCTCCACCACCTTATGGATCAGATTTCAAGCTAAAAATTCTGGAAGTGGCTCCTTGCGCCAACCATGTCCTTCGGTCTAAGCGTTCAGATAGTATAACAACTGGCATACAAACTATGAACTAATATTAGCATGAAAACTGTACAGCTCTCACCTAATCTTCGCTCAAGAAACGAAATTCGCTATGTAACAACTTCATATTCATTGATTCAATTTGTTGTTTTAAAATCGTTTCTATCTTCGCGTATAAAATGTGCTACTTTAACGTTTTCATTTTCAAATTTGTCTATATGTATACAGTTGTTCCAGTCAATTGTTTGTCACTGTTTAAAAGTCGATTTGTAGCATTTTGAATCACTATACAGCTGTTGTTACGATGATGTCCTACAGTGCAATATCTGACTCAACTAATCGGAAACCACGCATCCTGTTTAAGCTGACTGCCTGGAAGGTTCGAACCTTGATCCGGCCCGATAACAAGTAAATTTGTCTGTAACTCTACTGTGGAGTAAAGCACTAAAGCTGAGGCTGCACTGGATGGCTGGATGTCCATTACTAGTCCCTTTTATGCTTTTACGCTAGAATGTTCTTTTAGAATGAGAAGTAATTGGGAAGGGAAACGATATCTCTTTATTATATCTGCCTATGCTTCCACGGACTTCAGCCTGGATGAAGTTAGGGAAGATGCATGTCATAGGTTGAGTGACCCTTCCTATCGAGGGCTATTGACAGACATTGCAGTGCTAGCTGGGGACTTAAATGCGCAGATAGACCGTTAAGGCCTAGTCTATAGTTGTGTAAGCGACAAATGGGCATTAGGAATTCGCAGGACAGATATTTACGACGATATTCTACAGATGTGAGCAGATCACAACTTTTTTTGTCAGCACCAACTTCCCATGTAGCTATTACTGGTGTTCTAACTGGGATTCTCCCTTTGTCTTTCAATCAAGTCTGAACTCAAAAGCATCAGATCACAATTCACTACTGATGTCCAGTGTGTGTTCAGGAATGCCATTTATCATAACGCATCTGTCTGAATTGTGATCACACTTTAGTGTGTGCTAACTTCATCTTGCATTTTAATTTCCGTTAACTGAGTCATCGGAAGGAAATCAGTGTAAGTAAATTGATTGGACACAGTAGTGCAACTAATAACCACGCCAATTTAGACTTAGCCCTAGTCTGCAAAACTTCTAGAAAGAATATATGAACACTGGTTGCACATAGAAGACACCATAAAAGGCAGGTTAGACTACTTACAGTTTAAAAGAACATCATACTAATCACACTAGGTCTATATGTTCCTTGCAAATTCTTGATATTTGTAGGTCTATCCTGGAAGATAAAAAGTACGATAGCATCCTTATATTAATTACGCGACAGATTTTCAAAAAGACCCCAAAGCTAGGTTTTCAGGACCGGCAAAAAGAATAGCAACGGCATTTGCATCTACCAGTAATCGGAAGCTGTTGCATGCATCATTTTGTTATTTGTATTTCGCAATGAACAAAAAACAAAATAATATCGTTTTTACAGACATTTCGCTACTTTGCTTTGTCTAAATTATATAGTAAGCCAGAATTTACATTATCCAGGGTTGCATGTGACAACCTGATCAAAGATTTTTGCATTGATAATCCTGCGATGTGAAACTGTTGGAAATATTGAAGACAATATGTAGTTTTCAGTGTGATAAACGTGTGAATTATCGACTGACTTTTGCATGGGTATGTTTGGTATTCTAGCTTATCTGAGCTACTGGGGTGAGTGGGATAGTCTGTAAAGTTGATAATCAAGTGATCGACAACTTTAGTAAGCGCTTTGAACACTGAGCAGTGCACTTTGAAAAACAGTTTGGTTGACTTACTGTTCCAACAACATCAAATCAAGTGTCATATGCTATGCAGTCACTTAAAACTGACTCACCTAACGATGTTTAGTCCTTAAAGGGACTCGAAATCCTAGAGAACTGTAAGGCAGCCACCCTAGACAATTTATCCTGTGTCTATTAAAGGATGGATGTGAGAATATAGTTAGGAAACTCAGTAAATTTTGAGAAGATATGGCAAATTGAGTGTTCCCTTACTGTGAAATAAACCCACTATTGTGCCCATCTTTGAAAAATAACTACGTAACGCGTGTACCAACCATTGCGGTATCAGTCTATTTCCTCTTGAAACAGATAAGGTTTTGTTCAGGAAATGAATGCCTTGATGACATGCTTACCCTCCTTCAGATTATCGAACACCATGAGACTGTAGGGCAATAACTGTTTTTTTTTCAGATTATGACTACCTTCTATTTGTTGAGCAGGTTTGTGCTCTGTAGCTGTCCGTTAGAGAGGAGTGCACCTGAGAGGTTTATAAACATGAAAAAGTTACGCTCCAAGTAAACAGGGTATAGAACTACTTTTTTTCACTGATCCAAACCATTCTTGTTTGACTTTTCCACCAATAAGGTACTCGAGACAGCTCTGAAGGTGTATGGTGATAGTGGAGATTTATCTTTAAGAGAAAGACTATTCGACCTTGAGTATGCGAACTATGTCATCTTATCGTAAGACAACATAATGGCTAGTCATATCTCACCTGATTGGCTGGCAATTAGTGTATATAAGTACGTCATGTACTTTTCACTAAGTCCTGTTTTTTATTACAAGTCTGATAGGAGCCTGTATTTGCACTCATCCTTGTCAGTATACTGTTGGAAGTAGTTGTTTCCCTTACCATTTACTTTGCCTTTGACCGAATGGGAAAAATGGAGAGCTGGTTAGTGTATATTGTGGTATTTTGGGATGAAGAAGTGTTGTGCTTGGTAAACATCTGTCGGTGCTTGATAACTTCCTGCATGGGGTGCGAGAGATATCGCGCTGAATCGACTCCCGAGGTAACATTACTTCAGTTCTCGTGTTTATGTTCCTACAGAAAATCAAAACAGAAGTAGTAAATGTTTCTTTTTTATTTGCTAAGGTTGAATATGCTTGCGAAGATCCAAAGTTCTGGAATATAATAACGCTATTAAGTGGTATGGTAGGAAATACGTTTAGCCAGATCATATTATTTTATTTAATTTCGTAAATAATATCTCTAAAGCGACGAAATATACCTCTGAGTGCGTTTGAAGGTTTGAATGCCACCTTAATTTCAAACCTGTTAAGAAGTACATGTACTTTTCTGACATTTCTTCCCTAAATAACAGCTCAATAGAAGCCTCGAATTCGTTTCAATCTGCGTCGCAGTTACTGTTCATAATACTATTACTACTTCGTTTCTCATATGTTCTTACAAATTTTCTCATAAACTGTGGAAGATAAATGATAAGTGGCAGTGTTTCTTTCATGTGTTTCAAATTCTGATTTATGTCCTTCGATTTACTTGTGAGCTTTCTAGACTTGTTGCTTAGGTACTTTACCAAACCTGCTTCAAGTGACATTAGGTATGATGACCTTAAGTCTAGATACCTAGTAGAGTGTGTTGGTTTGTTGTGGACAGTAGTATCTAAACCGCTAACTGTTCTTCGTTTCATACAATTAGTTCCCTTCGTTTGATTTTTCAACAGAATAAAGCC